GTGGCAATCACCGTAATTTTTGTTTAATAGAAAATATTTATATTTAGCCCCCGTTTGTTTTGTTGTCCGATTGACCACAGAAATTGTCGGTTACTTCAGCAGGACCTCTGTTGATGTTTCATAGAAAAAGGAATCAATGAATTGGAAAAGAAGATGCTTATAATAAGCCCACATAGATTATTTATTTTAAATGGTTGAGGTTGCACGACATCAATTTATTTTGGATACTCTAATTGACTGGATCAATGTTCTACTAAATCATTCTCGCTAGTTGAATTTTGAAAATACATTTTGCAGTGTCAGTTGGCGTTCAATGAAAAAATGAAACAAACCGTTTCTGCTACTTCTTACAACATAAAAAGTCCAAGTTTGCCCAATATGTTCTCAATGCTTCAAAGGATCGTAGCAAGTTAAAAGCCTCCGTTTTTAAACAAGCGAGTCGTGACATCGATTCTTTTGTTTTAAATCTGAAAGATACGTGATTAAATGTGTTTCAAGTTTATATCCTAAAACCCCATTCCTCCCCCTAAAAAAGAAATACATCGATTGACGAAGCCATCACAAGGTTTTAAAAGAAATTGTTAGCTTGGGTAATTATTTAAGCGTTCGATGTCATGTTCAACGGGGGTTAAGTTTAGTATGCATTGTAGAGTTATCCCCCTTCGACCCTCTGTTGCAATTGAACAGCTATTGGGAATGCTCGGATATGTTTATGATTTTGCATGTTTGACATCTGGGGTGGCCACAAGTTTAGGTTTTAACTGCTGATTGCATTTTATTTGTTTCTTTGGCGGAAAGTTCAGCTAGAGTTTTTATACGTCGGAGATATCCCCTTTCTCTTAGTTTGCTAATTACCAGCGTACATGCTGGCTTAAAGACAGTCTTCTGAGTACATATCCTATGAAAACGGAGAATCTGAGATTTTATGTTGCCAGAGAACGTATGTTTTGGGTGAAAGGAGCTTTTGAACATTAACTGATATGTGTCGGTTTCTTTGAAATGTACTTTAGTTTCCAATTGGCCTGTCTTTTTGGTGTTGCTACTTTTAAAAACTGTAGTGTCATGCTGTTATGACTTACATTTGCGGTTAATTTGACAGATGGATGATGATGAATTCTTCGTCCGGCCCGAATGATTGTCGGTTCCTAACTGCTTCAATACCTGTGTTATTATCGATGTTCGGGTACATGCTATGTACGTCGATGGATATTAAACTGGCCTCTTAGCCGAGGAGGCTGTATATGACGTTCCCCTGAACTCCGAATGATGCCTTCTCTACGGTCTCATCATGATATCTATTTCACAGCCTCCCAGCCGAGGAGGCTGTGGCTATGATGTTCCCCTGGGAACTCCGAATAATGTCTTCTCTACGGTCTCATGATGTCTGAGAGTAAATCAAACCCGCTCTCTCCTATATAGAAGTGTAATGCGTTATCTATTAGGGCGGGACAATTACCATTTCGGGGTAGGCCTAAGTGTTTCGTATGGGCACCGTTTTACGTCAACACTTTTCTAGTTAATTGGACTAATCTGTGCACGAGATGACTGGACGATAGTACCCTACTTTCCAGAAATGGATACTGGCATATTTAACTGTCGGTGCGTTAGTCTAAGAAAGTTGTAGAATAATACAAGGTACTTCTCTGGCCTAGTTTTCGTCACATATTATGTAGGTAACGAATTCTATATTAAACAGAACACCTTTCTTAAACTAAACTAACCCTATAGTATTACATACGAATCGTGCACCATAATGCGTTTTAGCGCCATTTTCAACAAAGGACTCGAAGAAAGAGGCTATACACATTCCACAAGTGTCATGTCAAACGGTGACCTCATATTCTTATCTAGAGAGCATGCGCAATATCAACTATCGGTGTAGACTGGAATAACCAGACGATAGAGATTGCCATTCGATTTAGACTTCAAGCGTATTTCGCCGAAGATAACTGATTTGAAATTAAGAGTAAAAACAGAAATGATTGAATGTAAATCAGTTTAAATGCATTCATATTACATTATTATATGCGTTGCAACCCATTATTTGTGTCAATTTCTAGGTCCCATATATTAGCGATTTAGCCCCGTTAACTTTTATTTTCTGGTTCATGCATGCTTTATTTTTTTCAGAAAACAGTACATAAGACAATAGTAATGATAAAATACTATCTGTCAATCTGTTGGTTTTGTTACTATGGATTTTATTCATTATTATGGCAATATGTATTGTTTAATGGTCGAGCGAGAGACATTGCGTAATATATTGCAATAACAAGAGGGACAAAGGCCCGAGTGTTTTTACAATATATTACGCAATGTCTTAAGCTCGAGACCATTAAACAACTTAAAATACAGACACTCGCCACGCGTGTCCAATATTTCACTAGTATAAATAATGTACGATTGGAAAGTTACCCGTACGATTATTTGAAATAATGGTACGCCAACATCAAAGGCACACTGATCCGCAGTGAATATTTGCTTGGCCGCGACAATCACTGATAAGGATGACATTGGTGCGGCTTAATGAGCTAGAAATATTAACTTTTTTCCTGCCACAAATTAAATTCTAAAACATTTTTTGTATATATTGGAAAAATAAATAAAGGCGTTTGACGTATTTGTAGTTAAAAATTATTTCCGATTTAGTGTAAATGGGTATTAAAATGACTAAAATGCAGCATTCTCTCCGAAGCAGTTATGTCTTATGTAAACAATGCACGCGCCATTCAGCCAATGATTCACACCGCGTGCTGTGACAGCACGTGTTAAGGCAGTCATCCATGACAGAGATATTATACGAGACTCGTAATTCTCTGTGAAACAGATTGCATCAAAGGGTGACGTCACATCTGTATTTTAAATTTTGTTATAGGAAAGACGAGCATACGCTAGTTGAACTATAGAATGGACGCTATAAAACACGCGATAGCCGTTAATTCAAATTACTTATTTAATGGCACGCGCCTTAGTAACAGCTGCATATAAAATTGATAGTAACTTACAGAGTGCAAAGGGTAAGTGACCAATCGATAATTTCAAACCATAGTTTAAATGTCGGGCGACAGCTGACCTACCTGTTTATTCCTAATCCTCATATGGACAGTTCTGTTGACTCATTGGTCTGACAGAAAATACGCGTACTTGTGGACCTACTCGAGGTCACGATTTAGGAGAAACCTGTAGTATGTAGTTTAGGATTAAAGGATCTTTGATGAGTTCGATTTTGGAAATTTCGTCCAGAAGTCACAATTTTGTTCGATATAGATGAAATTTAAAAATATGCGTTCTCGAGTTATTTCCGAATCAGACGAAACTTTAAAGTTAAGGATCAAAAGATCTTGGATGAGTTGGATTTTGGTGTTTATATCGGACCTTCTGATCCAGAATTATTCCACCTTTTCCGAAAACCTTGTGAACGTTATACAGGCTACATTTTTTAACAGAATTTTTTCAAATTTGGTTTGAAGCATTGAGGTTATGAGAGGACGAACCCTATTGATAATCAGTATTCCGTGACCTTTCGTTCCAGAGTTATGTCACCTTAGCTGTAAGCTTTGTGAATGCGATAGATACCACCTTCCATTCCGGAGTTATCCCCCTTTTACGAATTTTACCTTCTGGACGCGCGAGGCTACGGCTTTTTAACGGATTTATTACAAATTTTTGGATAGCATTGGGGTATGAGAGGACAAACCCCCTCAATAGTTAGCGATCCGTGACATGCTGGGGGTACTCGATTGAACGTTCCGGAATTGAATTCTCTCAATCCCCAAAAATAGTGACAATTGAGTGAAAAGGGGTATTTCGGGCTAAACGTTTCTAGGGGTTTACCCACAGTTCCGCGCAGAGAACGCCAAGAAGTCGCCGTAACAGAACGTTTCATTGGCTAATTCCTCACATGAATAAGAACGCCTTTTATATAACAACTCTTCCAGATCCTAGTGTAGTAAAGACAAGTAAAACGAAATTTTGAACTATAAAAAACGAAACGAAATAGGACCTGTGTTTTAATCAGATTGACGAATGGTCCATATACCAGTTCTCTGTCTATCTATATTGCAAAATATGGGCGCATCTTGCTTTGCAACCGCTCATTAATTACTTCCGCATTGATTTTTGGGAAATGTTTTGCTTTGTTCATCAAGCTTTCTCATTACAAATGTAACTTCCGCATTGATTTTTGGGATATGTTTTACTTTGTTCCCCAAGCCTTCTCATTACAAATGGAGTTAGAGACCATAGAAAGCCGACGTCGGAAACTGATTTTTAAAATGTTCTTTCTCTGTGTATTAAATATTGGATATCAGTGACAAGGAGTAGGGTCGCCTGCCCACTGCTAAAGACCCCTACGCGCAAGCGAATTATTGAAATAAAATTGAACCATATGTTAGTCCTGAAATGACCTAGTTTGTGTCGAGTGGACGTTAAACCCAATTTCTCTCTCTCTTTTTTATTAGATATATGAAGTGTTATCATGGTATTAATCGTGTAGACTAAACAATCTGAACAGGAAATCTTCGTATCACGCCAAATCCTAATCTGAAAGACCGTTGGTGTCGATAATAATATGTGCGATCTTAAAAAATACTGTAGAAAATCGGAACCAAAAAAATAAAATACGTATATTATTTTACATCTCTCTCTCTCTCTCTCTCTCTCTCTCCCTCTCTCTCTTAAATAATGCTGTAGAAAATCGGAACCAAAAAAATAAAATACGTATATTATTTTAACTCTCTCTCTCTCTCTCTCTCTCTCTTGAGAGCATCAACCAGAATATGAACACTGTCATGTTCATTTGACAGTTAGGTATATTTTGATTGAGTGCCATCATCTCAAGGATACCAGATCACATTTTTACTGTTGCCAGTCACTGTCCACCCAAGATACATGTTTAAAAGAAACACGATTTTATGAAATGTTTTTAATTGTATATACAATTTTTCTTTATAGTGAGATGTAAATTGACGAACTGGATATTCGGATATTTCAGTATATACTCCATGTTATCAATGCTTTGTCTGTTAACTTTATGTTGAGATTCAGAATCTGGATAATCTAGACAAAATAAAAAATTCTTTATAGTGAGATGTAAATTGACGAACTGGATATTCGGATATTTCAGTATATACTCCATGTTATCAATGCTTTGTCTGTTAACTTTATGTTGAGATTCAGAATCTGGATAATCTAGACAAAATAAAAAATATTTCATCCATACAATCAATGTTTTGTCTGTTAAATTTATGACCCCCAGTCCCCACCCCCTCCCCCCGCGTGCGCGCTGTATCATAAAGTGTGTCATTGAGTCAACTGGCGTAGTTTCGATTCCCTGGTTGTACGTGACAAGGAGTAGGGTCGCCTGTCCAACCTCGTGGGTATTCTCAGGGTCTTCCGGTTTCCTCCCACTGCTAAAGACCCATACGCGCAAGCGAATTATTAAAATTAAATCAAACCATATGTTAGTCCCGAAATGACCTAGTATGTGTCGAGTGGTAGTTAAACCTCATTTCTCTCTCTCCCCTTGCCTATAAATTGAAAACAATGTCGCAACGACAATATTGCTACATGATGTCCAGGCTTCAATTTCTCCCATTGCACACGCCATGTTTCATTAATGGCTTGGCTAATACTGCAAGCAATAAATATCAACGGATACAGTGAGAATTATGGGAATTTATAAACCTACCTGTCCAGACTGTCTGATGTTACTATCGTCTACAGGTACATCGTTGTTTTGTACATCAGCGGGTATTTTATTTAAACCGTAAATTTCTATAGTTTTTATATATAAATCATCAGCTCCATTAAAGTTGTTTATAACTGACTCAATCAACAATTCACCTGCCTATAATATATCAATTCACCTGCTTATAATATAACAATTACCTGCCAATAATATAACAATTTCACCTGCTTATAATATAACAATTCACCTGCCTCTAATATAACAATTCACCTGCTTATAATATAACAAACAACAGAAGTGGAAGGTGATGTAAGATAAGGCGGCGTATATTGCGTTACCATAACTTACTAAATGGACAACCGAAACCATCATATTTGAAAAAAACGTATTAATCACTTTGGTCCAAATTTGAAAAAAAAAATAAAATATCTCATTACAGACTGAGACATGGTTATGCCCCCTTTCAAAAAGGATAATAAAATAGAATAGATTTTGTCAACCAAAATAGATTTTGTCAACCAAAATAGATTTTGTCAACCAAAATAGATTTTGTCAACCAAAATAGATTTTATTAATCAAAATAGATTTTATCAACCAAAATAGATTTATAAACAAAATAGATTTTATAAACAAAATAGATTTATTTTGTAAACAAAATAGATTTATTTTGTAAACAAAATAGATTTTGTAAACAAAATAGATTTTGTAAACAAAATAGATTTTGTAAACAAAATAGATTTTATACAAACCTACCTTCACCATTTTAAATTGAACAATCGTTGATTTGTTATTCTTGCTTGTTTCTATATTATTTTTTTATTTAAAAAAAGAAAGAAATTACAACGAACATGTATGGAAATGTAGATAGATGAACAGCAGTATAACATCTGTATATTTTGATGTATGTTTTAGGTGCAATTTTCCTCTAGTAGTTATGGGGCTTGGATGGCCGAATGGTTAGCACGTGCGCGCTGTATCATAAGGCCTGTCATTAAGTCAACTGGCGTTGTACGTGATAAAGAGTCGGGTCGCCTGTCCAACCTTATAGGTTTTCTCCGGTTTCCTCCCACTGCTAAAGACCCATTGAAATAAAATTAAACCATATGTTAGTCCCGAAATGACCCAGTCTGTGTCGAGTGGACGTTAAACTCCATTTCCCTCTCTCCCCTTTATTAGTTTTACATTCCGAATTTTTTGGCGAAATATATCCCGTTTGGTGCTGACGTGCATTAAACAGCATTTTATTTCTTCATTCATTCCGAAATTATCAAAACTGACGATGGCTGTCGAATGCAAGTGATTGTTTACTTAATTGGATGTGTTTTGTGTTAGAAATAATCGTCAACTGAAATAGGCTAGGTTTAAAATTTAACAACTAACAACAATCTGGCGCTGAAATCCATAAATACTATATCAATGTGTTGGGTATATATATCATAACCAATAACCATCAATTACAGCTGGAAGGATTTAATAGGTTTTTTTTTATTTTAGACCGTGTCGGAGTGAGTCAGTTTAACTATTAGCTATTATTGTAAGGTTGAAAAGGCACAATTGCGTATGGATTGATGGACTTCGATTTGGGATATGAAGGCGCAATTCAAGGAGGCGAAATGGCTGAATGGTAAGCGCGTGCGCGCTGTATCGTAAGTTCTCATTGAATCAACTGGTTTCGATTCCTCCGGTTTCCCCCCACTGCCAAACCCCCTACGCGCAAGCGAATTGCTGAAATAAAATTGAACCATATGTTAGTCCCGAAATGACCTAGTTTGTGTCGATTGGAGTGGACTGGACGTTACCCCTCTCTCTCTCTCCCTCTCCCTCTCTCTCTCACAATTCCAAGAAATATTGCGATGACGTCATGATCGGTTCCTGAGATCAATTTTAAACTTACCCAAACTTTGCCCATCGTCCAAGAATAATTGACCATTAGAAAGGTGATCTTCGTCGAGTGCTACTATAAGACCCATTGGATTCTTACGACTGGAAGATAAAGATATAAAAAAAAGATAAAACGACTTGATGTCACGTAACGGACATTGTCTACGATATCACCCTAGGTGGAAGTTGACGTAAAACTCCAGAAACGAACGAACGAACGTAACGGACCACCACAACCAATCAGGTCATCCAGAATCATACAACCCAAACAATAACCGTTTGTCTACAACAGTGGCTCTCAACCTTTTTTGGCAAAGGCACACCTTGGAACACATGAAAAATTAGCGGCACACCTGGCTAAATATATATAAAAAATATCTGAGTTTTGCAAAATTGAAATATGGCATATATATCAGACGGCATACAACCGTAGACACAGACTAGTCATAGAAACATAGAACGACTCAAACTAAATAAAGAAAAACGCACCAGTAGACTCCAGTGAATACTCAATTGGAATCAAGTGGCTTTTCGCGTTTCTTAGTGTGCCGTTCAAAATTTCGCGGCAGACTTAGGTAGATCTCGTGCCGCGGCACACTGGTTGAGAATCACTGGTCTGCAAAGTATTTGTGATTTGGTAACATTTTATTATTACAAAACACTATAAACCTCAGAATGCCTCATTCGGCATTTTTGTCCAAACGTGGCAAAAACGTGCTAATAAAATTTTTGCCACAACGTGGTAAAAACAAAATGCCACGTTTGTCTGGAGTTCCAAAATGTTGTTTTTTTTAAATTGCCATGTTTTTGGAACGAGGTATTTTGACCAGAACGAGGCTGTTCACAAGGTTGGATACATGATTTTTCAAAAGGGTTGGGGTGGGGTTCAACCAAACCAAAGTTTCGTCGAGCGTATCGAGGACAGCATAACATTATTTGGTAACACTTTCAAGCGATTATGTAGAGAAGAAAACACAAGGCAAAGTCGACTAGAAATGACATTCGTTGCATAAAAGAGTTTGTTACATTCTTTATTGCAGTTTCATATGTTCACACAATATTTCCAACAAAGAGATGTGAGAAATGAAAAACAGCCAAGTTCAAAGCGGAGCGAACTCAATAATTGTTTTTTAGGCCTTTGAATATTATTAATTACAAATATGCTGTTCCTTTTTTTACATAATAAACGATATTATATTTAATATATCTCATGAAATTTTATGAGATATATTTTTTATGGCACTCAGTTGTATGTATAAAAATTGCAAAAGCAATTAAATTAAAATCCATCGAAAAATAAAATAGACACAATTTATGTTTATATAATGACATGCAAAGCGGGGCGATGCGAGCAACTATATTAAAAATGATAATTACATTTACTTTCTTTAGGTGACCGGCCTACGTCTGGATTCTTATATAAAGGGTCGATCTGGACTATATGTTGGAGAATAAAACTGCTTAATTTTGTTTTAAAAGCCATTAAAATCTTCTACCTTTGGACCGAGCAACTAACTCAATATACATGATACGTTTTCATCTTAAACCCGTCGTTTATTATATAAAAACAGGAACAACATATTTGGTTTGGCTGAACCCCACCCCCAACCCTTTTGAAAAATCGTGTATCCAATCTTGTGATCAGCCTCGTTCTAGATAAAATACCTCGTTCCAAAAACATGGCAATTTTTAAAAAAAAAAAATACGTTTTGGAACTCCAGAAAAACGTGGCATTTTGTTTTTACCACGTTACAACTTAGCAAAATTATGGCAAAAATTTTAATACGTTTTTGACACGTTTGGACAAAAATGCCGAACGAGGCATTCTGAGGTTTATAGTGAAATGGTAAGTCAAATTAGTCTACTTTCTGTATACAACGTGAAATCCTGTCTTAGATCCAAACATTAGTCAGACTGACAACCTGATTAAAATATACATCTATATTTCGTTTCGTTTTTTTTTATACTTTCGATGGCCTACACTACAGAAAGATCTGACAAGCTGTACTATAAGGTTGTGTCAGGGGTCGTACGAGAGGCTTTTGACCCTATGACGTCAGACACTGATTAATCAATCAGCGTTGGCGTTTCGTTTTTTTTTATACTTTCGATGACCTACACTACAGAAAGGTCTGACAAGCTGTACTATAAGGTTGTGTCAGGGGTCGTACGAGAGGCTTTTGACCCTATGACGTCAGACACTGATTAATCAATCAGCGTTGGCGTTTCGTTTTTTTTTTATACTTTCGATGGCCTACACTACAGAAAGGTCTGACAAGCTGTACTATAAGGTCGTGTCAGGGGTCGTACGAGCGGCTTTTGACCCTATGACGCCAGACACTGATTAATCAATCAGCGTTGGCGTTTCTGTGGTTTACACACAGTTCCGTGCATGGCATGCCAAGAAGTCGCCGTAACAGACCCGTTTCATTGGCTTATCCCTCACTTCAACCAAAACGCCGGTAATATAATAACTCTTCCAGATCCTATAAAACTATAAAAAACGAAACGAAATCGGATATATGTTTTAATCAGATTGCAATTGGGAGTGAAACGTTGATTGATCCACTCACTGAACCGTCAAATTGTATCTTAAAACTGACACGTCTTACTAAATTACAGACAGAACGGATAACCCTGGCATTACGCTACCTCGTAGAGAGTTACTGGTCGATCACCCAGGACTTATAACTGGCTGTAGTCCCAACATGAGTACATGAATGATTATTCCCTACGATTCAGAAAACAAATCCTATTCAAAAACACCGGATACCACTTGCTGGTTGGTTCTTTTATAATAATATATTCATAATAGCTAACAAGTTGACATTTGTGTACTACTTGTTGTATTAAACATTCATTATGCAAGAACTAAATCTGCCTATTGCAGGTCTTTCTTTAGGCCTGAAATGTTATCTAAACTATTAATTAGACATTAATTTACTTATCCAAACCAAAATCAACTCTCGATGTCATCGCTAGTTTGCGATATTTACTGGATTAGGATCCGATTTGTGGCTCAATTTTCATTCATGATTTCATTATGAAATGCATAATCGAGACAATGGTTTTTATCCCACCGACTTTAGTATTGATGATCGAGGGTAGGCCAAAAATTAAATCGCTCAATTCTCGGTTCAGAGGGGATCAATTTGACTTTACATTATCTAGTTTTAACTGTTACATCGATAACTGCCAGCTCTTTATCTAATCCCCCTTAATGTATCTTTAAGCTGAACAGTAGTAAAGCTTCTGTAATATGATAAAATACTCCCCCCACCTTTCATAAGTTGTTGTTGATGGTTTCTGTACTGCTATCACGTGACCACCACGTATATGTAAATTAAATTCATTCAACGGTGTATATAAATGATGCGTTGTGCCACTTGGTAATATTTCATTTCCCTGTTAAAGGTAATATACATACATGCATACATACAAACTGTTTCAATGGCATTTAGTAATTGAACTAGAGTATACAGGTCACAATTCTATGGAATACAATTACTGCTTATTACCGAGCGACGTTTCGACTAGGCTTCTCTAGTCATTATCAAGTAATAAGCAGTAATTGTATTCCATGTACATACATACACTTATAAATTATACTATATAACACATTTGCCTGTTTAAGGTAATATACATATACAGACTTATTAAATATACTATATAATACATTTCCCTCTCAAAGTTAATATACATACATAGAATTATAAATTATACTATATAACACATTTCCCTCTCAAAGTTAATATACATACATAGAATTAAAAATTATACTATATAACACATTTGCCTGTTAACGGTAATATACATACATATATGTATAAATTATACTATATAACACATTTCCCTCTCAAAGTTAATATACATACATAGATTTATAAATTATACTATATAACACATTTGCCTGTTAACGGTAATATACATACATATATGTATAAATTATACTATATAACACATTTCCCTCTCAAAGTTAATATACATACATAGATTTATAAATTATACTATATAACACATTTCTAGATTTTAAATTTAAAGAAAACCCTTGAAATAGACGAAATGAAATGGGGTTTAACGTCCTACTGTTCTGCTCCTAACCTGGGCTAATGAACACGGGCATACGCCATACAGTGTGCTATGAGGGAAATTTTGCCCGGGCAGCGGCGCTACGGCCTACTCTTATATCGAATTCCAACTGCCAAGGGGTCTTTTACGTGCACGCCAATGTGTACACGGGACCTCGGTTTTTTGTCCCATCCGCACGACTAGACAGCTTTCCTTGTCAGGCCCTCCGTCCTGCATCACTGACAAGGGGGAAACCACGCCGGGACCTCCAGGCTAGCGAGCCAGCGTCTTACCCACTTAGCCACGTGATCCCCCCTCGAAATAGACACGCCAATACTTATTATTCCAGAAGATATGTTAAACACTGAGATAATACAAGCTAGTGTGGAGAGAGAGAGAGCGAGAGAGAGAGAGAGAGAGCGAGAGTATGAACATATGGTTCAATTTTATTTCAATAATTCGTAGGGGTCTTTAGTAGTGGCAGGAAACCGGAGGACGCGGAGAAAACCCACGAGGTTGTAAAGCGACCCTACGCCTTGTCACATACAACCGGGGAATCGAAACCACACCAGTTATGATAAAACGCGCACGCGCTAACCATTCGGCTATCCAACCCCCAAACACCGAGAGAGAGAGAAAGAGAGAGAGAGAGCGAGAGAGAGAGATGGGGTTTAACGTCCACTCGACACAAACTGGGTCATTTCGGGACTAACATATGGTTTAATTTTATTTCAATAATTCGCTTGCGGGTAGGGGTCTTTAGCTGTGGGAGGAAACCGGAGGACCCGGTGAAAACCCACGAGGAGAGAGAGAGAAATGGGGTTTAACGTCCACTCGACACAAACTAGATCATTTCGGGACTAACATATGGTTTAATTTTATTTCAATAATTCGCTTGCGTGTAGGGGTCTTTAGCATTGGGAGGAAACCCTAACACTGAGATAATAGAAGCTAGGACGGACAGGGACGACGACATGTTAACTAAACTTTACAATTGATTATATTCATATTACCATATGCAATAATATTGATTA